GCCAGCTCCGCGTGGTAGGTGGCCGTGTGGAAGCACCTCCCGCCTCCAGGCAGCCTTCTTATCTCCGAGCGGAGAGTTGGAAGGGATACCGCCAGCAGGCTTGTGGACTTCCTCGAACGCGCCCCGCAGGTGCACTGGTCGAAAGTGATCAGCTCGACTCCCTGCTGGCCCAGGAGGTGGCGCGTCTCGGGGAGCCTCCAGGAGCTGGCGAAATGCTCCTCGGTGGGCTCGCACGGGTGCTCGAGCATGCCTGGGACGCCAAGGTTGAGGCACATGTACATGAGCTCCAGCTGTGTCCTGTATAGGCGATTGCCGATCGCTACTTGTTCCATCTCTGGTCGGGAGAGGTATCGGAGGCCCCACAAGCTGTTGCTGCTCCTCAGGGGTCTCGGTGGGCGACCCCTGCGGGCGTTGGGGGGCAGGTGACGCGCTCGGCTCCATGTCTCGCACGGTGGTCCGCCGATGACTCCTGCGAGCCTTCCTGCCTGTGCCATGCTTCGCCACTTGTTGACTGCAACTTCTGATGTCAGGTCGCCGAAGGTCGGGTCGCTGGGAACGTCCAGGCTGAGCATGTGTAGGTCGCATGAGGCCCGACTTCTTACGCGGTCGAACCAGTCCTGAACGTCTCCCTCTCGGCGACGACCGCTGAACAGATGCAGCACGTATAGTGTCCGAGCTGGCGTAGGCCTGGGTACAGTAGCTGGCGGCGGCGGCGGTTCCTCGATGAAGGGGGGCTCGAGGTCCTGGTGGTGGCCGCTGTTGCTGTCGTCGCTGTCATCGTCCGTGTGTATCTCTGGAGGGCGAGCAGGGACTGCAGGCTTCTCGGCCCAGTCGATGGGCCTGCCAGCCCTTCTGTTCGCCTGTTGTTGGTCTCGCACCACTTGCTGGTTGTGCTGCAGCTCGGATTTACTGAGCAGCGCTGGACGTGTTCTTCGCCAGTGTCGAGCGCACCTGCGCACACGCAGCAAGTGCTTGACCAGTCTGTTCGTGGTGTGGTAGTCCATGCCGCATCCGTAGCAGACCGAGCCAGTTGCCCACGAGATGGGATGCCCCGACGAGGTGTGGTCCTTGGTGATGTGGGCTCGTAATACTGCTGCACTGAGCTCTGTACGTCCGCAGTGGTAGCAGAGGTACTTGCGCTGCTGCTCGAAGTGCTGGTCTGGGAAGGGCGAGATGGCTTCCGTGTTGGTCCAACGCTGGAGTCGTAGCCGCCATCGGGCGTGGTGGTCGTGATCGTACTGGCGGGCTTTGCCGCGTTGGCAAGCTTTCTTGACTGCGCTGAGGTAGCTTTTGTAGTCATTCCTTGCCCAGTCCTTCCAGTCGTCGAGTGTGTACGCTCCACCACGCTCGTCAGGTCCTGTGTGGTCGCGGACCCAGTCTAAATCGCGGCGGAGCAATGCTACTCAACCATAACTCCCGTCCCATGCCTGGCTGAGTAGTCGACGGAGGTGAAGGGGACCCCAGTTGAGGCTTCTACCGAATAGCCGAAGTCTCTCGAGGCGTAGGACGATCTCGGGGGGGAGCTTGTCGACTCCTTCGAGGATCTGGGTGTTTGTGACCTCCTTCTTCTGTCGCACTTTCCATGTAATCCTCTGTGCGGCAGCGTAGTTCACGATGTACTGGTTGTTGAAGTTCCTGGCCTGGCCTGCTGTGAGTTCGGGCCAGGTGGACGCGTTGTATAGCAGCTGGGATAGCACCACGCTGTCGGCTAGGTAGGCCTTGTCTTTGACGGCCAGCTCTGAACGACGGTGGGCTTCACGATGGAGAGGCCGCGTGGATGTCGCAGCGGTAGCTACTTTCACTGCGACATCCACCCCAGGAGATGCATTGTCGGCTACGTAGGTCCCGAGGAGCTTGTGGTGGCGGACTACCTCGACGTGGCTCCCCGCCAGGGGGACCGCAATCTTCGGCACTCCGTTGGAATAGAAGTTGGCCCGAGCTTGCCGGCTTCCAGGCCCACTGAAGTCGATCATCACTTTGGTCTTGGTGAGCTGCAGCTGGAGGCCGAAGGTGCTGGTGGCGCAGTAGACGGCCTCGCAGAACCCCGTGGCCTCAGTCTGAATGTGGTCGGGGCTGGTGAACACGTGCATGCCCGTGAGGTCATCGACGAACGATAGGCCGTGGGGCTCGTGCTCCTGGAGTGGTCCGTCTGTAGGGTCGGTGGCGCATGCGAAGCTACTCTCCAGGGGTCTGCCCTGGGCCCTTAACCCTCGCTGTGCAAGGTAGCTGTCGATCATGCGGTGGACGCGGCCAAAGAGCAGATTGAAGTCCGCGTCGGCGAGGGGCACGCCAGGCCTCGTGCCTTTGTGCGGCGCCATGAAGCTCTGGGAGAACCTGTGCGATGTCCACCTGTTGCGATACCCTTCGGCAATGAGGGCAGCCAGGTGGGAGCCATCCAACACGGTGTCGAGTATCCCTGGGTTGGCCATGAGGTGCTCCAGCTGCGGCTGGGCCCACAGGGGAACTTCTAGGTTGTCGAGCACCTCCCTGACTTCGTCCT